AGAGAGGTTTTATAATGGATTCATTTTTAAATCAAAGTAGCAAATCAAGGTGGCATTGAAACTGGATCATCTAAGGTGCATTCTTGGTACTAATAAAGTAAATATGTTTTCCTTCGTGAATAATTAGACATAGTTCTGAGAGAGGATAAAATAAGATAAAATTATTGAAGATGGTATGAACATGTTCTAAAGGAATCTATATGGTAGTTAGAAAATGTGACACGATTAGTGTGAGTTGTATGTGGAGAGATTGACAGGAACCTAGAAAAACTTTATAAGAAACAACATATAAATATTTGAATATTCTTTATTTTACTTGTGAAATTGTTTTGTATATAGCTCAATGGTGAAAAAACAAACATGTGGCCAGGCCCAAATAGTTGGAACATTATGGTTTCTTTTTCTTGTTGTTGTTGCATGTAGAAAGTGAACATGTAATATTAGAGAGGTCGGTAGCTGGGAGGAACATTTTAGAATGAAACTTCCTTTTTCCTTGTATGCTTGTGGAAAGTTAATTATACCAAAAATGTCAATGGGGAGATTAACTTATTTTTACTTGAGTCTTCTTTAATGTCAAATCCTTCTCAAATCCTACTGCTAGACTACAAGAAGACATAATATCTCAACTATTTTTTTTCTACCATTGATATCAACGTAGCAGAATCTCACTAGTCAAGCTAAGAGTAACAAAATTTCCTTTTCTTTTTATGTCTCCCTCTACCTCTTCTCATGCTATCAATATTCATTGATTCTTCTTGTCTAGGTCATCCAAATCCTTCCTTTATACATGTCATACCATTTAAATGGTCATCTTGTCTTCTATAGAAGATACACCTAATTGTTCGTGAATGTAAATATTTCTTGTTTATTTTTGGTCTTAGTCTAAAGTTCTTTTTTTCTAGTGTATCTTCATCTCTTCACAAATATCATTAGTGTATGTTCTTTCTTTCGTTCTTTGTTGTGTTAAAATCCAGATATAACAACAGTCCTGAAGAGCAACAGAGACCTCTGGTAACAGAGTTTATGGTTGTCTACTATAAGTGCCTTTAATTTTTCTGTAGGTAGGGTTGAACTGGCAGTGTTGTTCATGTTATGTGTAACATACTGGCTGACTCTTCATGCATCCCCTTCAGAAAGTCATGAGGTATGAGATTGTGGTATTAGGTCTTAACTGGTTATAAAGCCTCAAATATATATTTGTGTAGATGCGTGTGGAAGACATCTGGAATTGTTATATGTTACCAATTTTTTTCTTAATGGGTCTAAGAAAAGTTGGCTGGCTTGTGTTAAGAGGTCTTTTGAAACTGCTTCCTAGATGTCATCTCAAAATGGCAGCCTTGAGGGCACTAGTCTCTTTTGAGTTTTATTTTGAATAATGAAATTTTGGGTGGACCAAGAGCTGATAAATGTGTTAGAACAGCAGCTTAGGAGTTATTGCTTGAGCCAAGCAACAAACAAGTCTCTTTTCTAAAGATCTCCTAATTGCATATTGCACAAACAGTGCCAAATCCTCTTTTCTGTAAGATTATACACCAGAATCCATTACACATGCATATGTGAAGAAATTAACATATAATGTCAGTAGCCTCAGACACGAGTGACTAGTACAGCTGCACGTCTTCAGTTTCAACTAACATATGCATACAAAGATATCATTCTGTGTCTCATTCAGAACGATCAGCATATGTTAGTTCCTCATCTCAGAAGTATGTTGACCATATGATGTTACACGCTAGTGGAAATGTCTGTTGATAGAAGATTCATTGTCATTAGAATATCTGGAAATGTGCAGAACATTTCATACCTGTCATTTGTGGGATATACTCATTTCTCACTTGCAGCTTGTTGATTTGAAGTATTTTTCTCATTTATTTTTATGGTAAATGTCTAATCATTTACTCTCTAAGTTATGGAAGATTTATGTCTTGTTTTTCTCAGTTGAAGATGTATGTCTTTCAGGTTGAACAATTACACAAAATCTTTAAACTTTGCGGTTCCCCTCCGGATGAGTACTGGAATAAGTCCACGTTGGCCCATGCTACGATCTTCAGGCCTCATCATCCTTACGAAAATATTCTCCAGGAGACATTCAAAAGTTTACCAGGAAGTGCCATTAGCTTGTTAGAAACTTTTCTGTCTATTGAACCTTATAAGCGTGGTACTGCCACCAGTTCTCTTGAAGCAGAGGTGAGTATATGCCTTAAAAGTTCTTAAAATTGAATTCTTTTGAGAAACATAGCCCTTCCATCATTTGCTGTTAGCTCCTTCTGTGGAATGTTTTTCGTCTTCATTTCTTTGTCAATAGATTTCTTTCCTTTTTTAGCTTTATTTGGGTTGAAAAGAAAAATGCAAAACCAGTAACTAAGATCGTAATATGGAGTGTATAGAAAAACACAAAATTAGCAATTCCAAATTACATGTATCATGTAGATGTTTGAGACCAAGATTCTCTGTCATAGCTAAATAACTAAGTGTAAAAAGGAAATAACAAAGGAACAGGTGGTTAACCATCAGAGACAACCTGCTTAGGATCTAGGCTGCAATATAAAAAGAATCTGTAAAGTTCTTGTGTATCATAAATTAAGAATAACATATATACAAAACAATTGGAAGTTGCCCTTCATTTTAGGTCATTCAAGACATCAAATTTTTGTATGGTGGTCCCACAACATATTCTACATATACATGTTCTGGAAACTCCTTAAGTTGGTAGTTTATCTGTCAAATGAAAATTGTGTCATTAAAAACATTTATATTCATACAATAACAACAACAGCAACAAAGCTGTAAGTCCCAGCTATTTGGAGTCAGTTACATGGATCTGTTATCGCTATTGAAATTTATATAAAGCCATATGCTCAGTTAAGATTAGAGTACTTAAATCTTTATTTATAGTTTCTATTAAAATTCGTTTAGGTCTTCCTCTACCTCTCATTGTATCACGGATATTAATCATTTCACCTCTTTTGACTACTGTATTCAGAGGTCAAATCTTAAATGATTTTCTCTCATTAATCATGCCAATACCATCTTAAACAATTTTCTCTCATTTCATCATCTATTAAAACGATATCTAGTTGTTCACAAATAAAAGTATTTCTTTTTATATCTTTCCTAGTAACTTTGCGCATCCATCTCAACATTCTCATCTCGACAACACAAATTTTTTGTACATGTTTCTTAATTGCCCAACATTTAGATCTATAAATTATTATTGGTCTCACAATCATTTTATAAATTTTTTCTTTTAATCTCAAAGATACATGATGATCATATAAGACTCCTGATGCTTCTCGCCATTTTAACCATTATGTTGTTATTCTATGAAGAATATCTTCATTGATCTCTCTATTTTGTTGAATAATTAATTCAAGATACCTAAGGCTTTTACTTAAAAGAACTTTTTATCCATCCAACTTAACTATATTCTCTTGTATGTTCTTAGATTTACTAAAATTGCATCTCATATATTCAGTTTTAGTTTTATTTAATCTAAAACCTTTAGTTTCTAAGAATTTTCTTCATAGCTCAAGTTTATAATTAATTCCACCTAGACTCTCATTAACTAAAACAATATCATCAACAAATAACATACACTAAGGAGGCATATCATGTCAATGACTCGTAAATTTATCCATTATCAATGTGAAAAGGTATAAATTTAATACGGATCATTGATGCAATCCTATGCTAAAAGGCAACTCACTAGACACACTCCCTATAATTCCAACACTAGTAGCTATATCATCATATATATCTTTAATAACATTAATGTAATTAATAGATATACCTTTTTTTTCTAAAACCTACCACAATAAATCTCTAGGAACCCTATCATAGACTTTCTCTAAGTGGATACACCTTTCTTTTCTAAAAACATTCATATTCATGATAACTATATTTCACCTTTTGCAATTTAACTTGTCTTTACATTTTATGTTTCCTCTATGTGTTTTTTCAGTATTTCAGAACAAAGCCTTATGCTTGTGAGCCCTCAAGTTTGTCAAAATACCCACCCACCAAAGAGATAGATGCAAAGAGTCGTGATGAGACTCGCAGGTAACTCTAGCCAGCTATGGTTGTCAATTAGATGTAGAAGAATCTACAAAGTTATCCTAAATGTCATGTTTCTCTGCATATTTTCTTAAGGTGCTAAGAAAAAATTTTATGACATATGCTTCTTCACAAAATTGTTAATGCCCATGCAAACTTGCAAAAACAGAAGATTTTTTTTCATGTTAACACGAAGCCATAAAAAAAATCAAACTGTTTCTTTCTGTTGATTATAAAAAGATGGTATCCATTTCAGTCATTAACTGATTTTTAAGCTTTTTAAGGTTCTTGGAGGATCTACTCTTATGTTCTAAGACCTGATATTCTAAAGGAGACCTATATATTGAAGCATATGGCATCTAGTTATTCTGCAGTCAATTTTGATAGTTTTTGTCGCCTCAGGATAAGAGGTGCTAGTAGAGGCCGAGGATCGGAAGCCACAAGAAGACCATTGAGAGCAAATAGAGCTTCGCGGGCAGCAGGTGGGCTCAGTAGGATAACAGACAGCAAAGAGGTAATTTGCTTCTTTCACGCTCGCAAAATCTTTTAGAAGTTGATGGAGGAGAAAAAGTTATGATGGATTTTAATTTTGGGAGAATACATGTTTTTTTTGTCTTGTGTTTGTTTTTATTTTTCAGGAGTCACAGATCAATGCTGTAACCAGTAGTGGCAATGTAAAGAAAGATTGTTTGAGAGTAGATGGTGAAACTGGATTGTTTGTAGATCTCCAGCCATTGCCATCGATCAAACATCCAAATGAAGGTCACAGTGTGTGCAACTCCCAGGAGGATTTTGCTTTATCAGGGCCTTTATGTGTTTCTGCTTCTAGCGGCTTTGCATGGGCAAAAATGCAGGGAGAAGGTCATGCATCTGGTAGATCTGGCAGTAGGTGTAGCTCAAAAAGCCATCTCTCTTATGAAAGAGATCCATCCTGTATTGAAAATGTTAAAAGTAAGCATGAGTTCAAGGGACAAGAAAATGGTGATGTGCATGTTTCAAAAAGCCATGTGCCCCATGAGTTGGCAAAACGTGCAATGCTGAAAAGGTGGACACAGTTAGAACATCCAGACTCACTTGACCCTTCTGACGTATACTGTTCTCAGGAGTTTTCAGGAGCCCTATATAAGGGAGATCCATTGTCAATGCGGCATAACAACTTGGTACAAATTGTTTGGCAGGTTTTATGTTTTACACTGCATTGTCTTGACTCGTAACTTAGCTTTTCTTGATAAATCTCAGGGTTTCCATGATCAAGACAGAATTGAGTTTTCAGGACCTTTATTGTCTGAATCTCACAAGGTTGATGAGCTTTTACAGAAGCATGAACGCCACATGCGTCAAGCAATTAGGAGATCATGGTTCCAAAGAGGTATATAGAGATCCCATTTTTCGACATCTCTTGTGCAAATTTATAGTATTTATGCGGAGAGGAAGTGAATTAGAACAAGCCTTAATCTCTTGAACCTCAGATTGTTTTTTCTTGTCTAATATAGGCATTAGTAATCAGTTAAAGTTATGTGCTTCCGAAAGGAGTGTTATTATATGCCTCGTCAATAGCTCGAGTAGAATCCTTGCTCTTGTTACAGCTTTTATAACACATCGAGTTTTTTCTCTCAATTGTTATTATTAATAATCCTAGATTGACCACATATCTGTTGCCAAAACATCCTTGATCTAAAAAATAAAAGAATAATTGAATAACACTTGAGAAAGTTGATGATCTGTTAAAGTCTTATGAAATTTACACAATCTACTACTGGTGCCATTTCAGCATTGCACCTGATATTTTGACATAGTATTCTTGTAGTTCAGTTAATTGGATTTTGCTATGCTTATAATTTTAGTCTCAGTTTAATTAATTGTCATGTAAGGCATAAGAAATGTTTCCTTTAGACTCTTCATTCAGTTTTATGTTTCTACAGAATGAAATTGGTTCTGATTGGCTGGTTTACAATGGCAGGGAGAAAGCAAGGAAAATAGAGAGCCAGGGTGGGTTCTTTTTATTGGAGTAGGAACATACTGAAGCAAAACAAACACCTTGGATCAAGAAAATTATGTGACCAGCATCTTTCCAGACATAAAAGGATTAATGTCTGGCTGATCCCAACAGTGATATCTGATATAATGGATAAGCTGCTACATCAGGTTCCATGCGACTAGTGAGAGAAAATTAAGTCAGTTAACAAAGTCTACTACCTGCTGATGAATTGCACCTATTGTGGTATCTGATTCATCTAACTTGGTTGCTGGCAGGAATCAAAGCTTTTCTGTTCAAAAAGTTCCAAATATGATGAGACAAATCAATTTTTTGGATGTGAATCCAATTGCAAAGGCTCGAATGGAGCCAATTTTTTGTAATAATCAATATATAGAGCCATGATTCCTTTGTTCATTGATGGGATTAGTTCAATTTCCATCCACTTTGGATGTAAATGATCATGTATGCTGGATGTTCAACAGAGAAATCAAGCATTATTTTGCCAATGGTCTAAATTTTGCAGTTGTGGATCATATTGTATTCACAACTTTGAAATCGTTAGCCTAAGACAAGTTATCCTTCTCGGATTTCAAGAGATCTGTAAATGGAAGATGGCAGTCTTTGGTACTGAACAAGTACTTGCAAACAAACAAAGTGCCAACTTGAATATGGTTCTGTGTCCTGTTTCTGTGATCACTCTGTATATCTTCATAAAGGCATGATCGAATAGAGGCAGCAATGCTCGGCCATTGCATTGGATGGTTTGTGAGGTTTGATCTCTTCCTGTCTGGTCCACTATAAAAGCATTCCTTTTGTTGGTTATGCAATATGAGCTCAAGACTTGTGACACATATATAGCTAACAGTTTGTCCTGTTTGAGATGGTCTGACCATCAAACAGTTTCTTGAAGAAACATAGGGCTGTAAATATCCAGACAAAGTTCTCTATTTATGCTGTCACATTGGGACTAATTCCAAATTTCCAAATGCACTGATGCAAATTCTGAAAAGAAGAGTGGTGTCAACCCTGAAGATTCAAAATACTATCGCGAACTCGAGATATTTTTTATACTTTGGTAAGTAAACAACAGGCTTTGCTGAAATATATATACGCCGTCGACAGTATTTTGGTACATCAATATAGCTGATTGGCTCTTTTAACCACAACCACAAAAACAACAACAAAAAAAGCAAAGAACCGTTTCAATGAGACTCAAAGCTGGCTTTGTGTTCTTTTCTTTGATTTATTATTTACCATTTATTGTTCTATTATACAGTATGCATAATTCATGTAGGCTTATTAATGGCTGGTTATCAACTTCTCACATGTAAAAGTACGCTGGAAGAAAGAAAAAAAAAATAATGGAGTTCTCAAAGTATTTATTGGTTTATTGAGAGTTAGGTAAAGAGGGATTACATATAGGTTGCAGTCTTTACTAAAAGAGAAAACTACTTTGTTTTGCACTAGCACATTCCATGTGATCAAATGGATCTGGATCGATCATCATCGAGAGCGACGATGGTTGGAATCTGCCCATGATTGACGAAATCAATCTTGTTTAGTCTCAGACAACAAAGGATCTGCTCCGGGAGCTCCTCCGGCTTCTGTGCCTGCATTGTTTTAGATGTAGTTAGTTCATCATAGTAGAAGAATGAGAATACCGAACCGATAAGTTCAATTTCCAGATTACATGAAACTATGATCTTAATTTTTTCGATCAAACTGAAATTTTACAGTTAGGATCCTCTTCACAGTGCAGTTTCCTGCACTGGACTGCTGGGTCTTGAAATCATTCCATTTTAGTTCAACATCATCCCTCACCAAGAGTTCCAACATAGCATCTGCCTCTTGGTTTCCTTGATGGACTTTGATCAAAAGATTTGAAGTTATGTGAACCACAAAATTAGTATGCAATCATCTCCCTAGGCAATGTTCTCTCCTAGTTTTGGATGTGACAACACAACTGTTGAGTGTTGACCAACCACCAATCCTATGATATGGATGTCTTCAAAGACTTGGATGGTGATCACCAATTCATGGTTTTAAGATGATCTTTCCAGTACTCTTATGCAAGGTTTCAAATACCGGTCCGAACGTATCGGCAAGTATTTATTAGCCCTTACCAAATGCCGATATTGATATTAGACCATAATGATCAGTACTAATTGGTATTTAATTTTTATTTTTATTTTTATAATGATATCGAATGATAGGCATTATCCTGTCTACCAATAGCTTATCGGTCCGATTGGTTTTGCCAGTTCTATCATATAAGGAGTAGCTTGCACAAAAGTTTCTACATATGGTGTTTGACCATTGACACTCGAGATCTAGTAGTAATGACATAACAAAGAGCCACCTCAAGCAAATCAGAGATGCTATTTGGGGCTCTGGATTAAGCTCAACGCATGTTTCTCTTGTGGCACTTATATTCACCTATGTAATTGTGTCTAAGCATGGCATATCCAAATCACATTGTGTTAGATTGCTGAAGTTTATATCAAGAAACTCCAAAGCAGCTGATCACTAAATCAAGAAATCCTTCATGGCATAGACAAGTTAAAAGTTGAGGCAAGACTAGTGTGTCATTAAAAAGTCTTGCAAGAACAGTAAAGTCAAACCAGACATAGATGTTTCTAATCTCTGTGAATATGCATTTAATATTATTACCTGGATTGTCAGACCCAAATCAAGGATCCCATGTTTTAGACGTTCTCGAAATGATTCAAGCCCCTTTCTTGATATATAGCTAAAGCGATGTATATCGAGATCAATCTCAAAGTAGTTTGCTCCCTGTAATGTAAAGCGTATGACGATCATTGCTTAAAATAGAAACATTTCTATCTTTGTTTTTCAAAACATTTTTGATGCATATAAAACAATAAAATGTGCACTTTTGTGTGTGCTGGTGCAAACAGGCATTGCCAACATGACCAACTTGCAAAGTGAACGGTAAGTGCTGCAGTAACATGTTCATATCGAGTTGAAGCCTTGGAGTAGTAGCGAATATTTATCAAACAAATATAAGAAGCAAAATTGGTAAATTTATTAAATGGTCATTACTAATTGCAAACAATAATCGATTCAATTTGGATATGACATCTACCACAGGTTTGGCACATTAAACAAAAAAGAAGAACCGTGTGCTTTGCTTACCGAGTAAAAATTGTGCTGAGGGCGTGAAAGCACTGGCTTCCCATTATATGCTTGTATCAGCTTCTTTTCTGCTGCACTCAAGAGAAGATCCTCTGGATTAGCCACCCCAACCATTATTTTCAATCGCTCTCTAAATGGAATGCTAGACTCCATTGCAAACCCTTTAACCTTTTCGGTTTCATCATCAATAAACCTCTGCAGAAGGCAAGAAATTATAAGGTGTAAGTACTTAATATTGCCAACTACAAAACATCAAGTTACCAATGAAACAAATGTTACCCTTATTAAATCTTGGAGGCTAGAAGAAACTTCTTTATCATAACATTCAGAAATTTTAAAATACAATACAAGGCTCATCCCCTCCCCATCACTATCGCCGAGAAACATTGCGGCTGGATAAGTAGGCATCTGCACGAAAGTATAAGGTGTCATACCATTTGCTGCTAGCGAAGACGAGACTATCGGTCAAGTGAATATGCGGCACTACTAACAATAAACTCCTGAGAAAGTTGCCAACTGCACCTGAATATTGGCAATTAGGAGTGAAGGAACTTTCTCATGAGGTTTAACATATGGAAGCTCAATATGTTGGGCAATGTGATGTATCTTTTGTGGACATACAAACAAGTCTACACCGATTGGATAATATGGTGCATAGTTTGGAGCAGGACATTTCTTTTTATCTCTGTATAAGATTTTCAAATAAAGTGCAACTCAAATTAGTAAAGTAGAAAAATGTTGTTACCAACAAACTGTTACAAATTAATGCAAAAGCAAGAAATCTACATATACATGCCTGAAATAGCTTTCTCCACGAAGCTTAAAAGTTGAAGGTTCAAGAAAAGACCAGCATCCAGGACTTGATTTTCCACTGGGAGAACATGGAATGACTAATCCTCCTTTCGGATGATATAGGAATCTTTTTGACGCACCTAATAAATCAAAAAGCCAGAAAGAGCAATGGGTAACATCACTGGAGAACAAAATGAGGAAACATGACATTGATGCCAATATTTCCACATTGTAAAGTTGCGTAAGAGTGTCTAACTTAAATAATATGAATTTGGCATATGAGAGTACATGCAGTAGCTAGCAAAGAATGGAAAATCACAAAACTCGACATGTAGGAAATTAATAACACATGTAACCAAGAAGGCACTAGCGAGCATGTAAAGCCACAAAAGAGATATTTGAATTGTGCTCAAGATATCAAATCACTACAGTAATGCCTCCAATTTACTTAAGCAGAGTTCTGTATCATGTATAACCCAAAAGTTCACAAGCACCAGATGGGGAATGGGGGGAAATAATACCCATCAACTATGAATCTTTCATTTGAGAAGTCATCTATGGAATAAAACAACCATTTTTATTGACGTAGATTCCAAACCATATTTGAAATATTCATATTAATGATCGAAAAAGAAAACAACTAACATAGGGCAGCACGTTTATTATTAAACCTTCAGGATACCATGAGCTCATCATATTTCATGTCCAATAATCAACACTGGTAGACAGCCATGCAAATGCCTCCATGCATCTTATTTGTGGAAGGCAAAATAAAGAATTAACATTCAAATACCGGTTGAGCTACGTGGAAATCAGAAGTGTGTTACTTACAGAATTCAGTCAGCTCTTCTCCATCAAAAGAGTTCCTCTTGTAAGAAAGGTTGATAACTGCTGACCTTTTCTTTTGACACGGTAGGCATGTGTTTGGCTGTTGTATTTTGTCATTAAAACTGACAGAAGGGACTAACTTGCACACACAAGATGATGTCTTGTTGACACGAGATTTGTCCTCTGTCTCATGTCCTTCTTTGGAATGTTTGTTAAAGCGTGAAGCATTTCCATACTGCAATGTTTGTGTCCCAATTGGATTTACTGATGGAATCGAGTCTGCAGACAATGGAAATTAACTCATGACTAGCTGGAAAGGCTGCTAGATGCAGCCATAATCTATAACTTAGATATACACTACCTCCATGGACACTGACAACATCATCATCAGACTCAGATTCTAAAATACTGACAGAGTCAAACCATGATTCTTCTTGGCAAATCCCTACAAACACAGTTAACTATTCATCGCATAAAATTGTATGGAATATAAAGTTTAGAAAGTGAGCATAAATGTGGAACACTCAGATTATTAAGAGAAGCATATGATCACTGGTCTTGCTTAGATATATCATTAGCAAATGCTGTCAGGACATCTAAATTTCCCTCGAGATGCTGTTATTTCATATAACTAAACGGACTACGTTTGTCAACAAAATGAAAAACCTAATGCAAGGCAATTGCTTTGTTGGTTGATGGAGTTAATTATACTCATCACTCATCCGTGTTT